AAAAAAAGAAAATTAATTTTTTTAGGGGCAGTTAGGTGGTGTAGTGGATAGAGCACCGACTCTGGAGTCAGGAGAACCTGAGTTCAAATCTGGCCTCAGACACATAACACTCACTAACTGTGTGACTCTGGGCAAGTCACTTAACCTCAATTGCCCTCAACAAAAAAAAAATGTAATTAGGAAATATTTAATAAAATAAATAATAACATCACATTTTGAAACAAACTCAATATGTGATCTGCAGGGATGCATATGAACAGATTTGTGACCCCATATCTATTTGAGTTTGACACCACTGGTGAATGGGAATCTTATGGAAACTCTCTCCACTGATGGAGACTAGCAATTCTTCTGCAAGGCAGCAAGGTGGCTCAGATAGAACTCTAGACTTGGAGTCAGGGAGAGCATAATTGAAATCCTGCCTCATCTGTTTACTAGCTGTGTGACCCTAGGCAAGTCACATCATTTCTGTCTGCCTCAGTTTCCTTATCTGTAAAATGGGGATAATAATAGCACCTACCCCTCAGGGTTGTGAGGATAAGCAACGTGCTTCGTAATGCTAGCTATTATTACTATGTGACTTACAGTTGAAGAGGGTTGCCTAGAGAACTGAGAAGTTAAATGACTTTGCTCATGGTTATGTAGCTAGTAGTTATGTAGCTAATCAGAAGCAGGACTTGAATCCTGGTTGTAGGAGGACAGGCTTAGAGCTGGAAGAGACCCTAAGTGCTTTCCGTTTTTACAGATAAGGAAACTAGATTTGGAGAGGTTTTGTGTCAGAGATGTGATTTGAACCCAAGTTTCCCAGACTTCAGGTCCAGTATGCTATGCTGCCTCGCATTCTATTCTGGATAGAGACTGGACCTATATTTTCACTGGTATAGGGAGCTCCCTGGTAAGAAAACTCCTTCCAACTAGGGCGCTGAGAGGTTAAGGATCACTCAGTCTTTGTAAGTCAGAGGCAGGATTTGAACCCAGATCTTACTGGCTTCAGGGTCTGCTTCTGTCCACTGTGCCCAATGTATTCTCTTCCATTCTATACATTTCTGTTGTTCAGTAGCATCCAACTCTTTGGGACCCCATTTGGGGTTTTCTTGGCAAAGATACTAAAGCAGTTTGCCACTTCTTTTTCCAGCTCTTTTTTTACAGATGAGGAAACTGGGACAAATGAAATTAAGTGACTTGCCCAGGGTCACATAGCTAGTAAGTGTCTGAGGCCAGATTTGAAATCAGGAAAATGAGTATTCCTGACTCCAGACCTGGCACTATATCCACTGCGCCATCTAGTTGCCCCCATTCTATAAATGTATTACAATTAATTTAACCATTCCCTTACTCTTAAATATTTATATTGCTTCTGAGTTTTGGCAGTTACAACAAACGCTGTTAGAAATATCTTTGAACAGATAGCTCTTTTTCAAAACAAAGCAAAACAATACTTTTAAGACATATTCCCAAAGTGGAATTATTGGGTCAACGGGCATGCTTATTTTTGTAACTTTTTTTTTCAGGTCTTAAAACTTTTTATTTGCATATTTTAAAAATTGTGCATTCCAATAATTAAAATCATTTGAACAAAAAAATAAATGGCACTCTGATTAATTGCATTTTACAGCTTGCCAGGACCTTGGTACAGCTTTGCATTTTACTGTTAACTAGATTTACTATAGTCTCACCCGGGTTCTTCTTTTCACTAACATGCAAACTCTTTTTAAAAAAAAAATTTTTTAATGTCACCAGGACCCAAACTAGCCAGGATAGGCAGATGGAAAGAGGCAGCCCTGCTAGGCCTTCATTCAATCCAGTGTCAGTAGTTCTTTATTCTTTTGATGTTGAAAGGGGCAGCACAGTCATTTAAACTTTATCCAACCTCTTCGCATCTTTAACAGCTAAAAGAAGTAAAATTAAGAAGGCAATGCTTGTGGAATGTACCCTGCATATTGGCAGGGTAGATTTCATTACGATTAACCTGCTTGCTTCTCCTGTTCAACTGTTTCTTTTGATGGCAGCGGGTTTTTCTCGTGTTTCTGTCTTCTTCAGTTTAGACTTATCGAATTTCTGAATCTTAGCCTATCTGGTTTGTCAGACATTTTTGCAGATTAAGCAGTGATGGGCAGGTCTCACCAGTAAGTCAGATCTCCGAGGTGGCAGCTTCGAACTGTCTTATTTTTGTAACTTTTGCAGAGTACTACCAGATTGTTTTGAAATAAGATTTCACTAGTTTGAAATTTCGCCAGCGATGAATACTCACAATCTGGCCAGTACTGTTGGCTACTTCACCGAAAAAAAAATTGTCCTACCAACTATAACTCCCTTCAGCAAATTAAAAAAGGAACAAACATTAAAAATAAAGTTCTCAAGACATAGCTACTGAAATGGACGGGCCGAGAGTAACCAGACACACGCCAAATTAGAAAATAGAGAGCATT